GAACTCGTCGAAGGCTGAGCACGCTTCCATTTCTTTGCAAGAAGCCCACCGACTATTCCTTAAAAACCTTTTTTTGTTTTGGGGGCGGAGGAGGTGTTGTTTCTTCTTGTACAGTACCGTATAACCCTTGATATTCCTTAAACAAATCCTCAAAAAGAGTTATAGCATTATCTCTTTCATTTTTCCATTCTACTAAATAGCTGTAGTAATAACTATTTTTATCTAAAAAACAACTGTAGTAATACTCAATTAGAATTTTAAAATTTTCAATCTTAAATCGTGGATCACAAATAATACATATTTTATAAATATAAGGAATGTACAAATAATAAGTACACCATTTATCTCTCATAGGAGAGACATAAGGGTACAAATCTGGATCAGCCATACTTTCACGAAAACATGTTGTGATTGTAATGCACTCTTTAAAAAATGTATTTGTAGTTGGTTGGTAAACATGGGAAAGAGTAAGAGTTGCATTATTAAAAACTTCTAATACGGCATTCAATTTTTCAACAATAGCAAATTCAAAAGGATTAATGATTATACGAAGTTCATCCCTAAAAAATTTAGCAAGTTCCTCTTTATATCTTAGGATCTGTGCAATCAATTTGTAAGTAATATTCCATCTAATGTTGATATCTCTGGCAAAAACTTATTTCTTTTTTACCTTTAGACTTACAGAACATCTTCCAAGACCTTGAAATAAGACGAGCCCCCCAAATTTTTTTAATTCCTTCTTTAATATTTGTCAAAACTCCGCCCATAGCTTCTAGTCCCTGTTGAACACATAAATTTAAAACATGACAGGCACATCGTTGATGCAGAAATCTACCCATAGTCGTAGACGGTGGGCAAATTTCTTTAACTCTAGGAATAGCAGCAGTATTATTATTAGCATTATCAAAACCAAATGAAAATTTTTTTTCAGACAAGTTATATTCCCGCAGAATACTCTGAAGCAATAGAAAAATATTTTCAGCAGTATGCTGATAATTGAAATCACGAAATGCAAGAACACGTTTATGCATAATCCAATCACTATCTATTTAATGACAAGTAACACCCATATAAGACAAATTATGATAAGTTTCACCCCAAATATCAGAACAAATAGCAACACGAGAATTAAAATTGAGAAAAAAATTTGCCAAATTAATTTTTCCCATTTTATACTGGCGAATAATTTCTCGTTTAATTGTTTTTCTTGAAAAACCTCGTGCTTGAGGGTTTAATGCCTGTTGACAATAATCAATAAAACCAAGTTTTTCAGAAAACATGTATGGCAAATTTTCTTCACAAATCATTTCGGCCATTTTTTGCTTATTTTGCTCGTCGATATAAGCAAAAAGGCTGCCCTTACCTCTGTTAGCAAACCAAGAAATTTGGGTTTGCACTTCTTGTCGTCCCTTCTTTTTTGCCTCGTATTTGGCGTACTCCACGGGATGCCTCGACCTTAGGTGTTTTTCTGGACCGCCATAACCGCCGGAAACTCCCATTTTTATGACGGTCCCGCAATGTTTACAAGTTCCATAAACTATGTCATCTTTTGTGTCTTTGTCAAAATGATAAACAAATAAATCTGATTTATATTTTTTTTACCTTTGTCCGGACCTCGAGAGGTCTCGGGCTCACCTGCCTCCACGTCGACGTCGTTGCTTTGCGGTGTAGGCTCATCGTCCCCGTCAAGATTATCCAGTTCTGCTTCATCAGCATCCTCGAATAGACTATCAAGAGTGGGGAGATTCGCGTCCCCTCTACCAGAATAAATATGGTTGAATTCTTCATCCGTCATAGCATCCCCGATTAAATGATCTGGGACAGTAGGAAACGAAGAGACGGAGTGTCTTCCTCGAGAACCGCGTCCGCGTGAGGTCGAACCGTCGGAGGTGGCTTTAGCTTTGCCTTTACTCAATCTTCGGTTCACGTCGCCCATATCCACGGACCTTCTACCGGACTCCCTCGACATTTTATTATATATTTTTTTGATATTAAAATTATATATTACTTTTGGAAAAATTAAAAAAAAATTCGAAATTTTATATATTAAAATTTCGAAAATTTCAACAAATAATAGAGAATATATTTAAAATATAAATTATATATTTTTTGATATTAAAGATATATTAAATTTCAAAAATTTAAAATAATTTCGAAATTTTATATATTAAAATATAATATATTTAAAAAAGATAGATAAGAATTAAGAAATTAAGAATGATTGATAAGAATTAAGAAATTAAGAATGATAGATTGAGATTTGAGAGAATGAGAGATGGATTGAGTATTTGAGATTTTGAGTGTGATATTTTATGAAAAAAAGGGGTATTTATAATATTTTTAAGCCTCCCCCTCCCCTCCCCAATCCCCATCCCCCCTACCTCTAACGGCTCAAGAGCCG